TCTTTCTTTCTTTCTTTCTTTCTTTCTTTCTTTCTTTCTTCTTCCTTCCATTGCTTCTTGTGTCTGATTGGTGGCTGCCTGGCTTCTGACCCTAGGTATGTCCCTCTCTTTCCCTCTGGTTCTCTCCTCCTCCTTTCCCTCCCCCCCAACCTAGATTTCTCCTTCTACTTATTCTCTCTGCCTGCCAGCCTCACCTGTCCCTCTCCTGCCTAGTTATTTTCTGTTTAGCTTTTTATTAGACAGATCAGGTGCCTTAGGCAGGCAAGGTGAAACAACATTTTTTCATAATTAAACAAATGCAGCATAAACAATGTAACACATCTTTACACAGTTAACAAAGACAGCAGAAACAAATGAAACACACCTTCACACAGTTGAAGTAATATTCCACAGCATAAACAATGTATCACTATTTTACACAGTTAACAAAGACAGCAGAAACAAATGAAACACACCTTCACACAGTTGAAGTAATATTCCACAGCATAAACAATGTAACACTTCTTTGCCCAGTTAAAGTAATATTCCACAACCCCTGGCTTTCCTGCTTTGGGGACTTGACCCTTGGAACACTGGAATTGCTGGCCAGTGCTGAAGACAGCCTGACCTATTCTTTTTCACTGGGCACTCGTTTTGGAACTGTGCTCTGAGCAGCTAAGAATTCTTTCTTCCCCAGGGACATGTAGTAACTGGCAAGGCCAGGCTGGCGGTAAGCTCAAAGGTGGAGCATCTGTTTAGCAGCTCAGTCACTGACTAGTGTTTGGGCACCAGCTCACCACTGTTTATGGCTCCCCCCCCCCCCCCCCCGGGGAGTCTGTCTATCCATCCCATGGTACCTTCGGAGGAAAACTTGTGTTTTGGAGATTCTGTCCCTAGATTCAGATTAAAATGCCTGTGTAAGATTCTTAATCACATTGCCCTAGTTTCCCAGCAAGGAAAAACAATAACTTGGCAGAAGATGGGAACCAGACTAGGGCTCTCCTCAAGAATGCCTCCACATGTACCTATGGTGCCTGCGCCTCTGCCGCTTGCATTGACATCCTGGAGCCTGCTCTGTGAGCTCTCACTCTGGCGGTACTGCAAGCCCAGCTGCTCCCTGGCGGTACTGCAAGCCCAGCTGCTCCCTGCTGGTACTACAAGCCCAGCTGCTCCCTGCTGGTACTGCAAGCCCAGCTGCTCCCTGGCGGTACTGCAAGCCCAGCTGCTCCCTGCTGGTACTACAAGCCCAGGTGGTAGTGCAAGCCTAGCTGTTGGTGGTAGTGCAAGCCTAGCTGTCTCCCTGGTGGTAGTGCAAGCCTAGCTGTCTCCCTGGTGGTAGTGCAAGCCTAGCTATCTCCTTGGTGGACCTTGCCTTAAGCTGCAGCTGTAGAGAGGTCTCAGCTAAAGGTGCTTGGGCACATTTGCAGAAGTTATGGATTGGTAGCCAGTACTCACTTAGATTCTGATTTCTTTTTTGTTTGCCAGTGTGTTATTTTTTTAGATCCTGATTTCTTTTTTGTTTGCCAGTGTGTTATTTTTAAAGGGCTGGGTATAATGGTTTAAGCTGAAAAATACAATTAGGAAATTCATACAAACCTCTGAATATACAGTTTCTCTGGCAAAGCAGGGCCCATGTTCCCGCAGGGCATGTGTTATTGGAGAGGTCTAGATGGGCACACCCCTTCCAGTTACCCTCCCTTGGTTGTGTTGCTGTTAGGATTAGCGCCTTGCAAAACCACTCTTGGCCCATTGCAAGAAAAACAAAATAAAGTGCAGGCAAAGGCAGCCCTAGGACAGGGCTGGCCTCTCTTGGATGATTCCTGGTGACCACGGAGAGTTCTTCTTTGGAACTGTCCTAGGTGTTTTTTCTTCCTGACCTCACCCTTCGGTGCACCACCTTCAAGTTCATTCTTCTAGTCTGTGTGGGGCTGCAGTGCTGTTGACTAAAGAGTGAAGAGTCTGGAATCCCATAATACGGTTTTAGCAACGCCCCTGCCCCCGACTTTCAAGTACTGAGGTTGGTTAGTCATGAGTTACCACCATGCCTGGCAAGACCTGGTTTTGAATCTCAGCTGCACTATTTTAACTCATTTGTAAAATGGGGTTGACAACAGGCTTCATAGGACAGTCCGTGTGGTAGGTGGAATTTCATGTACAAAGCGTCAAGTTCCAGGGCCTCTCAGACTTTCTTTCTTGTCTTCAAGACTGAGATGAAGGCCAGGTGAGATTTCCTGGGTGCTTTCTGGCCACTCACATTTCTTTGCTCTGAGAAGAAAGCTAACACCTATTGTTTCTTCCAGAAGCTTCCAGCTTCTCTTGCCTGTGTGCTTTTGTTTTGTAGACCCATCTGTCTAGAGACACTCCCATACAGGAACAACAGGGGCCAAGTGGGCCTGTTGTACTTTCGGTAATTCTGGAAGAAGGCACATTCTTTATCAAGTCTGCCATTCCTGCACCTTGTTGCCATTCTCACAAGATCTGTTGGGATTCTTTCTGAGCTCACGCCTCTACTAACGTTTTTTTTTTTTTTTTTTTTTTTTTTTTTTTTTTTTTTTTTTTTTCAGAAATAGGACCAAGGTCAAAAGCCGGAAAGACGTCCGCAGATAAAATCGGCACTTGCAGAGGGACGCTTCGTCTGAGGTCAAAAGGTCCCGCTACAGTAGAAGAGCTGGTAGGTCATGTTCCCTTAACTCCCATTCTGTTTGGAAATACACAGCTCTGCACATTTGTTAGAGCCGGAAATAAAGCTAAAGTGATCTGAGTGAGTACAGGGCACTGGCTGGGTCAAAGCACGTGCTTTGAATTCATCGCCTCCTCGCACACTGTTTCCTCCTCCTGAAAACCATGGAAACAGTAAGAGGAAATTACACCAAAGCGTGGAAGAAAGCTGCAGCCCGTGGGATTGCCCTCTCTGCAGGTCACTAGTCTGGACTTGTCTAAGGAGACATGCACTTACTTGGACTATTACAAGGAAGGATTCTATTCGAGATGTCCGTTCTCCTAAGATAATTATCTTCTAGTCATGTGTGACTCTTATTTATTTATTTATCTTTTTGGAGATTTTTTTTTTATCAATTTATGTTTTACATTCCAATCCCAGTTCCCCCTCCCTCCTCTCCTCCTGCTCCCCCATCCCCCTCAGAGGGTAAGGCCTCCCCTAGGAAGTCTACTAAGTCTGTCCCCTGACTCTTCTTTTTCACGCTCTACACTCCTCCTGCTGGGGAAAGCAGCTCTGCACTATACCGGACTCCAACAACCTCCCCTGGATGCACTGAGATCCCAGGCAGCTTGCTCCACCCTGGAGGCTGCTGGATCACTCCCCATTCTCCTCCCCTTTCCGTCTGTGCTGGGTACAGCAGCCAGGACTACCCTTTAGAGATGTGAGCTGCGGAGGTTGGGGTTTCCTCTGTCCCTGGGAATAAAAGTTAAGACCTCAGACATGCTAACCCTGTGCCCTGACCCCACTCCCTCTGCCTCAGCCAGGCTCCCCAGGGGCTCCCAGGGTTTCCTTTGCTCAGGGTGTCAGGGCTGCTGTTACCACCGTCCCCTCCCCTTGCACTCCCACTTTCCTCACACGTCTGCCCATGCATCACCTGACCTACACAGTCTTTTCAGAATATCTGACACAAGCTGCAATTCTCTGCCTTTCCCACTTCTTTTGTTTGTTTCTCAAGACAGGGTTTGTCTGTGTAGTTTTGGAGCCTGTCCTGGAACTCACTTTGTAGACCAGGCTGGCCGAGAACCCATAGAGAGAGATCTGCCTTCCTCTGCCTCCTGAGTTCTGGGATCAAAGGCACCCCTCCCCCCATTCTATCCCACTTCTTAACCTTAATTTTCTTCAAAACAATAAATACTACTGGGCTCATATCTTTATTTTGTTTTAATTTCATCTATTGTTCATTCATAGTCTTAGTCACCTAGGATAGAATCTCATGGGTCAAACAAACACAAGTTTTTGCAGCATCAGTGAATTAATTACAGATTTATTTTAGGTTGAGGAAAGCAAGGGTTTCACTTATTGACTGTAAATGCAAATGTCAGTATCTGAGTGGAAAATGCCAGAAGGTGAAGAGACACATGGAGGGAAAAGGTGAAAGAAGCAAGCAGGAGTGTGGGTGGCAGTGACCAGGGTGGGCAAGGGAGGAGCAGGTCTACCCATCGCAGTGAGGACAGAGGGTAGATGCAAAGGCATCCTGAGAGGAGAGCCCAGGCACAGACCCTCACAGCCTTTATATGTGAACATTATCCTCACAGGCCCTCACAGTCTGTGTGAGAATGTCACCCTCAGATCTCCAGGTCCTCACAATGTGTGTGAGAATGTCACCCTCAGATATCCAGGCCCTCACAGTCTGCGTGACAATGTCACCCAGGGATCCCCAGGCTCTCACATTCTGTGTGAGAATGTTACCCTCAGATCTCCAGGGTTGCAGAACAGTGGATGCGTGGTCAGGTGAGCAGTTAGGTAGCCATTTGCCCAGTGGTCCTTAGAGCTTGTTGGATGACAATGTCCAGGGTTAGTGAAGGGCTGGTTCGTTAGCAGATACTTGAAGAACCACCAGGTGAAGGCCGTCTTTGGGGCTGTGTGTGTCTCAGGATGCTGTGTGTTTTGGGGGACCCTGAGGAGGATGGTGAGTCAGGGATTCCATCCCTCAAGCTGGAGAGCGCACGGAGGCAGAAGCTTGAGCAGCTGCTTATGAGGCGAAGGGCGTGGATGCTGCTCCTCAGCTCACTTCCTCCTTTACATTCAGCCTGGGTCCTCAGCCAAAGCATTTTGAAAATGAGCTGTGATGAAATCTGTGCCAAACGACAGGCTAGGACCTTAGTCGACACTTTACTTTTTCCTTTCCTCTTGGTGTATCACTGAGGACTGCCACTGTCCCTTGACTCAATGAATAAGCCTCCTCAGAAGACAGGAATCCGTGAGGAAGAATGTGAGAGAATCAGTGGACAGGAGCTTGCAGTGGGGGCCTAGGAGAATGCTCTCCTGACTTCCTGTTGGAGGCCGTGAGGAAGAATAAGTAGACCTGACACACTGTGTGGTGGAGGCAGGGTGTGCTGGGCCCCTCCGTGTCCTGTGGGATGAGCATCATTTCCCAGCAGTTAACATAACCAGCGCATACGTGTTAAGCACCCTGTTACATATGAGGCGCTGCAATGGAAGGAAGGTAGCCTGCGATCTATCTGGGCAGCCAGGAAAAAGTTACTCAAAAATAAGCATTAAACATCCGTCATTTGCATAGTCTGCTTAATTAAATAGGTTAATTAAAATTAGCTCATAATGAAACGAAGCTAGTTTGATGCTAATATTAAATCAGCACAAATAGCCTGCAATCAAGTTTCTAAAGGATTTAAAGTTCCAAGATTTTAAAGCCATCTCCCTTCTGAGGTGGCACAAACTCAGGGAGATGAGAATGAAGCTCCACTCCCAGAACTCGTTCTTTATTTGCTGTGTTTGCTGAGCCTGACACATTCTGGGCTCTGGTGACACAAGGATAAATAAGATAAAGGTGGGGCCATTAACAGACGCCATTAACAACTAGGGGTGCAGGGCTAAAGAACAGTTCAGGATATACAGTGTCACAATGAAGAGGCTGTCAGGGACCAGGGAAGACAGGAGGTCAGCCAGCAGTTGCCTGCAGAAGTGATGGAGCTTGTGCAAATAGGAGATGAATTATGAAATAATCCTGGGCCTGGGGAGAGAGAGTGTGCATGCTGCTTGTGAAATTAGAGAGTGGGTGATGATGAGTCAGGAGGAAGACATGGATGAGCATGGGAAAGGTTCTATGGTTGACTGGGGGGTCCCTTTAAAATGGTAGGGGCAGCAACAGTATCAGTTGTGTGTTTTAGAAAACTTCCTTGGTTTCAGGGGTGTGCTGTTGAGCATTCAGGGAGGGAATGGCAGGGGAGAAAATTAGGAAACCTCTGCCTGAAATAAAGGATGAGGACCCAAACAAATGAATGTGACGGGGAGAGGTGGTGGACCAAGAGCTGTCCCAGAAACCAGTGGCCAGATATTGGTGGCATTTGTGTATGAGGAGTGCTGCCACTTGCTACCACAGCTTATGCTATGGCTGGGTAGAAATAGAGGCGAATATCTGAGTTGCTTAATGTCTTAGTTACTGTTCTATTGCTGTGAAGAGGCACCCTGGTCTAGGCAAGAAAGAGTTTATTTGGCTCACAGTTTCCGAGGGTGAGTCCGTGACCATCATGGTGGAGAGCATGTCAGCAGGCAGGCGTGCAGGCAGGCACTGAAGAAGTCGCTAAGAGCTCACATCCAATCCACAAGCAGGAGGCACGGAAGTGGGGGTCATGCATACTAGTGGGGGATGCTGTGGGCTTTAGAAACCTCAAAGCTCCCCTCCGGAGACACACCTCTTCAAATAAGGCCACACCTCCCAATCCTTCCTAAACAGTTCCACCAACTGGGGACCAGTCATTCAAACATATGAGCCTATGGGGCGGTTCTCATTCAAAGCAGCATGATTGGTGTGGCCTGCAGCTTCACAGAGAATTCAAAAACGTTGCAACAAGGCGAGAGCAATCTGTCCTGTTGTTTACTAAGTTTTAGTTCTTATAAATGAAGTTGTGAGGTAGCTGGGGTGTGACTCAGCAGGAGGATGCTTGTCTATATTACACAGACTTTGGGTTTGAGCCCCAACAAGGCAATATACTCATGTTAACCTGTTCTCACACGTTTGCACACACATACATTTTATACACCCTCACCCAAATACACAACCGCATGCACACACATGCACTCACACATATCATACACTCACATGCACACTTACACACAAACACACATACTCTATACACACACTCTCACACATTCACAGACAGCACCATATATACACAGCACTCACACATTCCACACAGCTTTAAATACACACATATACTCACATACGATTACACTCACATACAAATTCAGGCAATGACACTACACATTCAAACACACATTTACAATACTAACACACATATACCCATACATACATACATAATCCACACACTTGACACACATGAACACTCCACACACGTATACACACAGAAATATTGATATGCATTCAATTGAAGACACACTCATTTATACTCATACTTAGTACAAACTTTTACACATTCACTCACATGCATACACTACACACGCATTTGCATTTGCTAATGCTCACAGATTCACACAGTCACACAGTCACACACACAGAATGGCATGCATTTACCTCACTAATATGTCTGTGTATACACACACACACACACACACACACACACACACACACACACTCCATGCCCCCACATATATACTCACACACTCATGTGCACACACAATAAGCCTGAGAACACACACTCTCACACAATACACAAATGAACACACACATTCTCACACACGCATACATATATTCACACACATACATACTTATGCATACACGCAAATTCATACATTCGCATAGGCTCGTACAAATGAATACACCCACATTTCTCTCTACATGCACACATCACATACACATCCTTTCATGGAATTCACACTCAAATATTACATACATACACACAAAAGCTCACCCGTTTACACATACACACTTATATAAACAATATCCCGCACTCCCACACACGTACACAGACACAGAATGCACTACACACATTCACACACTGATAATTCCAGCACTGGGGAGGTGGAGACTGGAGGCTCCCTGGGGCTTGCTGGCTAAATCAGCAAACTTCAGGTTCCATGAGAGACCCTGCCTCAAAAAACATAAGGAGAGCAACTGAGGAGAGCACTTGATATCGGCCTTTGACCTCTACACAGATATGCCACATATGTTCATATACAGGAAACACACACACACATACAGGAAACACACACACACACACACACACACACACAGACATGTACACATACACATAGACACACACACACACATATATAGACACAGATATGCCACACATGTTCATATACAGGAAACACACACACACACAGACACACACACACACACACACACACACACACACACACACAGACATATACACACACACATACACACACACACACACATATATAGACACAGATATGCCACACATATTCATATACATGAAACACACACAGACACACACAGACACACACACACAGACATGTACACATACACATAGACACACAGACACACACACACAGACATGTACACATACACATAGACACACAGACACACACACACACACACATATATAGACACAGATAGACACACAGAACACACACAGCTACAGACACACACACACATAGACACACAAGCACAAAGACACACATGACATAGACAGAGAGACACACATAGAGACACAGACACAGTCATACACACAGACGTGTAGACACATATGTAGACACATACACACAAACTAACCTACACACACAGACACACAGAGACACAGACACACAGAGATACAGACACACACAGACACAGACACAGGGAGATACACAGACACACACACACACACACACACACACACACACACACACACACACACAGAAGCAAAGAGTTTGGAGAGTCCCAACCTTTTAGTGGCTGATGCCCCTAACTTCTAGTCATGGGACTGCATTCCCCAGGCCCATGGGACTTCTGACAGTGAGTGTAACATGCTCTTTTATCAGACTTCACAATTTCACATGGGTTTTCCATGTGTGTTGCCTTCTACTCACAGTGTCTCTCCCCTGTGTACCTGATACCTCCATCCCTGGAAACACAGTTCTTAAATCACTTCCTTCTGTACACTTTTGGCTTCTGACCTCTTCTGCCTTTAAAACTATTGTCTAATTACTGATGCTGTATCTTTCTTCTATTTAGGTAGTTCAGTACTTGGGAGCTGTGCTCCTCCCTCCCTCCCTCCCTCCCTCCTTTTCTTTTTTTCTTGAATCCACATTTCATGTTGACTCTATAGCTAAATATTTACTGTATTGATTTACATGTAGCTTTAAGGTTAAAAGGTGTGTTCCAAATATGTCCATTAAAATGAGCTAATGGACCAGTTATTCCCTTCTGTGTGCCCTGACAGTCAAGAGATTTATTGTGTAAATGCAGTATCTTGTTGTTCTCTTTTTAAAGCCGTCCGAAGCCAAAGCAAAGGCGATCGAAAAGGTTGATGATCTCCTCGAACTGTACATGGGAATTCGAGATATTGACTTGGGTAAGGCCACACTGTTAATGATAATTTCTGTGTTGTTTATAGATGATAGCCGACTATACTCTTCAAGATGCAAAGGACTCATGGAGCACAAAAGAGCATATCAATCGTGAAGAATAATGATTTACCCAGTTACTTGCTGGGAGGTATTACTGCTAAGTTAAAATTTAAAATTGTAGCTAAACTGGGCATGGGAGCACATTCCTTTTATCCCAGCACTCGGGAGGCAGACACAGGTGGATCTCTGTGAGTTCAAGGCCAGCCTGGTCTACACAGTGTGTTCCAGGACAGTCAGAGATACATAATAGAAAAACCTTATCTCAAAAAAACAAACAAAAAATTAATTTTAACCTAGACACTGTAAATAATACCACCCTTACCATGTTTTATGCATGAAAATATAAAGGTAAGTTATGCATAAGAAAAGTTATCGGATGTGCTGAATTTACCTAGGGTATTAGCTAAATTATGTATTATGATATTAAAGTTGTACAATATTTAATAGGATTCCTGAAATAGGAAGAAAAAGACAGAACTCACGAGTAAGGATAACTTAGCAGTGGGTTTCTGGGTGTTTCCTAGGTTATTTCTTGTTGTATAAAAGATACAAGAGAACAGATGTGTCAAGTTCTTGCTTTATCAACCAAAACTCTACCAGTACCAAATATTTCAAAACAAATGAAAGCAAAATACCCTAATTCCAACTGTATTAAGGAGAAAAAAATAGGAGAAATTTATGGCTTTTATAACTGAAAATTCCAGAGATGGGTCTTGTCTTCAAAAATTGTCTAGATCTGGGCACTGAAGAGATAGATGGCTTAGAAGTTGAGAGCACTTACTGCTGGGTTCAGTTCCCAGCACTCTTGCAGCAGCTCACAACTTGTAGCTCCAGTTCTAGGGGTTCTGATGCCCTCTTCTGGCCTCCATGGGCACTGCACACACACACACACACACACACACACACACACACAGCAGCCAAAAGTCACATAAAACAAAAGAATGCTAGGCACGTAACTCCAGAGATAATATGGACAATGTGAGCAGCTGCCTCTGTGTGGTAAGGAGTTGGGGTAACAAAGAAGACACCCTCATAGGAGATAAAGAATTGGGGTGCACTGGAAATCCACACAAGGAGAGACAGGGCAGATGAACAGAGTGAGTACACGGAAAGCTGACTCAGCAAAAAGAAGTAAACAGTGCTGAGCTCAGGCTGCGTGGTTCCCGGTGGTGAGATGAAAGGAGCAGAAGCCTTGTGCCAAAGGTAAGTCTCGAACAGGAAAAGCCAATGGTGCTCACTCACATGCCCCGGACACACATGGTGACACACGTGTGACATGTCAACACTTGAAGAGGTCTGTTGTGTGGCTTCCCATGTCTCCAGGGCTGTGGCTGGGGGCCATTGCTCTAAGAGGTGGTTATGCAAAACGGAGCCACCCTGGGCTCCGAGAATAAAGGACAATCCCAAGTCAGTTCGAGAAAGGACGAACAATTAACAACAGAAGAGGCAGGTTCGGCAGATGCTGACATGGAATGACCCTTCCCAAGATGTGTTATTAGGAGCTGGGGGTGGGGGTGGGGAGCAGACTGCAGGTCCAGAGAGGAGTCTCCTTAGGAGAGGTGGCCACTCTGTAGTGTATTTCATGAGGACCTGAAGGAAACAGCCCTAAAATTCTCAGAGTAAAGGTTTTTATTTTCATGTGTGTGTGTGTGTGTGTGTGTGTGTGTGTGTGTGTGTGTTGGGACTTTGTAACACAAAAAATAAAAACCCACAGATAGATATTGGGGTTCAGTCATTAAGCTGAAGATCAGAAAAGCAAAGGAGCCAAGCCACTAGCTCTTACCCTCAGACTGAGATGGCAATCCTGTCTCCAGGAATCCTCAGAGACAATGCTCTCCACCAAGCCTCTGACTGCAATCCCAGACTGCTGCCTGTCTTCAATGAGACCCTTTGCTTTTTCCCCTCAAAACCTGGGATCCCAAGTGCTGAGATCACCTTTGTGTGAGCTGTTTCTCTTTTAGACTGGGTCGTTTTTGTGTAGCTCAGTGTGGCCTTGAACTAACAGAGCTCCATCTGCGTGTCTTCTGAGTTCTGGGATTAAAGGTGTGTGCCACCTCCGCCTGGCTCTATGGCTAGCTAGTATGGCTGCTGGGAGTAAAGGTGTGTATCACTGCTGCCTGACCTCTATGGCTTGTGGCTGGCTTTGCATCCCAAACCCTCAGGCAGGCTTTATTAAATCATAAGTAATATATCACCGTGTGTGTGTGTGTGTGTGTGTGTGTGTGTGTGTGTGTGTGTGTGTGTGTGTGTGTGTGTGTGACAGATTTTCAGGGGTGTGGTAGGAAGTTCCACACCATGTGACTTAACTTGGCTTAGCCTGCTTAATTCCTGTCATGGAGAGAGTACTAGGTCAGGACCTTAGACTTTTCTTGCAGTTACAGTGGGAGATATGGCTTGCCTCCCCTTCCTCCAGACTGGAGTGCTCTATCAGTCTCAGCAGGGCGTGGTCTTTGTTCTAAGGGGCTGGCTGCAGCACAGTGTGGCCTGAGTTCCCAAGGCTGCTGCATCTATTCACTTCAGGCAGAGGCCTATGTTCTAACAGTCAGGGAGCCTGTTAGTCAGAGCCTGAAGTCAGCCTCTGCAGCCTTTGGATGACATAAGAGGCTGTCAGATAGACTGGGAAGACGGCAATGAAGTTACAGGAGATGTGGTCTCGCTCTCATTATCCTAGAAGGACTTTGGAGTCTCTTAGCCCTGAACCTGTTGACAGAGGTTGATCAACACTGCTCCACTTGTGGTTTCCACAGGGACTGAGAACTCTGGGGCTCTCCTGAGACACTTGGCATAAGCAACCTCTCCCCTCCAGGGTGTTTAAGGGTTGGGCTTTTTTTTTTTTGAGGCAGTGGGTAAGATTCAGGACTCAAGTCTATCCCTGGACTTGTGAGCCAGAATTTGGGAGCTTTCAAGGAAGGACCCCTAGGGCTGTTTTCAGCATTATAACTTTTTGTAGTTATTAAGTCAGGATGAGTTATTGTTATTAAAACACAAATATGGGGGCTGGAGAGATGGTTCAGCAGTCATGACTGCTTGCTGTTCTTCAAGAGGATGTGAAATCATTTCCCAGGACCCAGGTGAGTGACTCACAACCACTCTAACTCGAGCTCCAGAGGATCTGACTCTCTTTTCTGGCCTCCATGGTTACTGCACCCACATAATACTCACCCTGCACAAACACACATATTCAAAGAAATCGAGATAAAATAGAATCTGGTGCTCACGGAAGCCTGAAGAGGCCATGGTAGCTCCTTGACTGGAATTGCACTGGATTTGTGGTTTTGAGTTGTCACATGGGTGCTCGGAATTGAACCTGAGAGCTCCTAACCACTGAGCCATCTCTTCGTCCCCCCAAATAAAACACATCTTAAACAACTATTTTATTTATGTGTGTGTTTAGCCTGCATGTTCACCATGTACGTGCCTGATGCCCTCGGAGGTTAGAAGAGGGCGTCAGAGCCCTTGGAACTGGAATTATGGATGATTGTGAGCTGCCATGTAGAAGCTGTTTTCTGAACCTGTGTCATCTGTAGGAACAAGTGTTCATCATAGATGAGCCATCTCTGAAACCCTTAAATCTTAAAAAACACAAATACAGTACAGCAGAGTGATGGATAACAGGGAAATGATTATAAATGGATTTAAATCATAAGTCTTTAAAGATGAATCTTCTGGGTTCATGTGATGGTTCAGCAGGTAAAAGCCATTGCCCACTAAGCCTGGTGACCCAACTTTGGTTCCAGGGATCCATAAGGTGGAAGGAGAGTACGGCTTCCTGAAAACTGAAGTTGTCTTTTGACATTCATAATCCACACTGTGGTGTACCAGTGTAGCACAAGTTCTAATAGGTCTTAATAATAAAAACCCAGAGACAAATATTGGGGTTAAAGCTGAAGATCAGAGAAGCAAATCAGGCCAGCTACTGGAGAGTTCTCACCTCTACCAATGCTCAGACCAGTAGGAAGGGCGATCCTGACCTCAGGATCTGTCTCCTCCAAACCTCAGACTGCCCTGCTCTCCTGTCCCCTCCAGCCTTATCTTCCTCTCTAGTGCTGGGATTAAAGGTGTGGGATCCCAAGTGCTGAGATCACCTTTGGGTGAGCTCTATTCCTCTTTTAGTCTGGATCGACTTTGTGTAGCTCAGGGTGGCCTTGAATTAACAGGGATCCATCTGCCTCTGTCTCCCCAGTGCTGGGATTAAAGGTGTGTGCCTCCACTGCCTGGCCTCTCTGACTGGCGAGTGTGACTAGCTTTGCACTCTGATCTTTAGGTAGACTTTAATTGTTAGATCATAAACAAAATATCACCTCACACCAGATGTTTCTTCCCCAAACACACACACACACACACACACACACACACACACAAAAAAAAAAACACTGAAGAAATAAATGTAATTTAGACAAGAACCTTAAAATAGAAGAATGAATTTTCTCTTGTGCTCAGAAATGCAGACCATTAAATATTCTAAAATATTCATTGAAATCACCCAGTGGTCCCTTGTTAGTTTAATTAAACATCTGTAGCAAATTCCTTTGATTGACACGAAGCCATTGTCATCATACATGATTAGTAGTGTCATCAGTCACTTAGGGAGGCAAAGTGTAAGGAAAGTAATTATTTGAAGAATTTCAGCTGTGGTTAAATTAGGAATTTCTGTTGTTCAGAAATGATTAGCATGAAATGTAATTCAGAATATTGTTAAGATGGAAACTTTTTGTTGTTGGTTTGAGAAAGGATTTCTCTGTGTAGCCCTGGCTCTCCTGGCACTCACTCTGTAGACCAGGTGACCCTCAAACTCAGAGATCTGCCTGTCTCTGCCTCCCGAGTGCTGTGATTAAAGGTGTGGGCCACCACCGCCTAGCTTCAAATGAGTCTTTGTAGGAAATACCTCTGAGGATGAATGTACGTCAATGGCTGTGAAGCTACGCTGTGAAATGTGATTTTTCAACCAGCCAAGCTAATTACCTTGAGATGTTATCTGTAAAGAAAAAAAATTCCAGAAGATGTTGAGTGTGTGTGTGTGTGTGTGTGTGTGTGTGTGTGTGTGTGTGATCTAACTCATTTCTACATTGTTGTACTTTCCACCTTCAAGATTTAAGGCAATGGTGTAACTGCCTGTGTACCTACAGTGTTTCCTGATACCAGTCTAGGATTTTGAAACTAATTTTGACAGCTTAAGAATTATAAAAGTTAATCTATTAAAAATACTAGAATGTGTGGGAAGGCAATTAAAATGGTAGTTCCTAGGTTCTTTCCCCCACAATACCTTTGATAGCTGGTTAGAAAGATATATATTAATGGTGTTTCCATAGGGGGGAACAGATTTCTTCCTTGGGTTCCTGGTACTGGTCAGTGAAGTCACACACTGTGAAGAGCTCCTTCTGAGTTGAGATTAATGAAATCTGGAGTAGATTTTTATTAAAAAGTGCACTGCAGAGGCTGGAGAAACAGCTCATTGGTTAAGAGTGCTGGTGGCTCTTTCAGAGGACCTGTTCCTCACAGCATGTCACAGTCATCTGTGACATTCAGTCACAGGGCATGTACCATCTTCTTCTGGCCTCCATAGGCACTGCAGACTTATGGTGTACAGACATATATGCTGGCAAGACATCCATACACATAAAAAATAACAGATAAATAAACAATGTTTTAAAACACATATTGTAGGGCTGAGGGTACAGCTTATAGATAGAACATCTACCTGGCATATATGAGACCCTGAGTTGGAGTACCATACCACACACACACACACACACACACACTATATACACATGATACACACACACACACACACACACACACACACACACACACACACACACACATATATAACTATATACATACACACATATAATAAAAATGTTAAGTAATAGGTCAATTTTTATACCTAAAAGTTCTTTAAATATTCACAAACTTAATGGAGACTGTGTTGGTCAAAATTTTGTGGTGGTAGGAGCATAAAAATACTCTCAGAGTGGCCACAAGAGGTCAGCACTTAGCTGTAATATGTGGCATTAAAAAAAATCCTTTGTGGTCACTTGTGCGTCTCAGGAGTGGAACTTCATGGGCTTCTCTATCCTGGGCAAAGTCCTTAGGGAATGTGTGCTCATGGGAGTGCTGTTTCCCAGACATAGAACACAGAGTTTAAGTAGCTTCCTAGGAAGGCAGACCACGCATCCCATGGCTAATTTTCAGTCCTAAACCAGAAGGTGCTCAAGAAAGATGCTGCAGAACTCAAACCGCTGTAGTTGTAAACTATTCCTTTGGAAAGCGAAGAATACGCTCCAGCTAGTTGGGAGTAGGGCGTGGATGGAAGGCACAGAGGGTGTTACTGTGGGGAGGTGAGGTGTGTGCTAAGATTCCTGGTGACGTTAGCCGTGCCTATAATGGCTCCCTCTAATATGGTATCTCTCATTCTGCTCTCTTCTTCTCTTCTCTTCTCTTCTCTTCTCTTCTCTTCTCTTCTCTCCCCTCCTCTTCTCTTCTCTTCTCTTCTCTTCTCTTCTCTTCTCTTCTCTTCTCTTCTCTTCTCTTCTCTTCTCTTCTCTTCTCTTCTCTTCTCTTCTCTTCTCTTCTCTTCTCTTCTCTCCCCCCCCCCCCCCCTTCTCTCTCTCTCTCTCTCTCTCTCTCTCTCTCTCTGTCTCCCCCCTCTTCCTCCTATGGTTTTTCGAGAAAAGGTTTCTCTGTATTGCTTTGGAGCCTGTCCTGTAGACCAGGCTGGCATCAAACCCACAGAGATCTGCCTGCCTCTGTCTCCCGAGTACTGGGATCGAAGGCGTGTGCCACCAATGCCCGGCTGCCATGAGGTTTTCTTAAAATGTGTCTTCCACCCTCAGAATTGCTGGAGGGTTGCAGAGAGGACTCAGTAAAATACTTCTCTTGGATACACAAGTTTGATCTACAGAGCCCGTGTAAAATGTAGATGTGGTGGTGCAGGCTTTAGAATTTAGTGTTGGGGAAGTGGGGATAGGAGGATTACTGGTGCCAGCACAGCCTGCCTAGTGAGCTCCAGGCCAGTGAGGGCATCAAAAAGGTGGCTGGCATCTCAGGGTTGACACCCAAGGTTGCATCTTGCCTCTCTGTGCATATTCATATACCCCACACCAGCCCAAAACCAAAACAACACCAAAAAATTCTAGAGACTTCCAAGTGATGGACTCTCAGGCTGGGGACAGGGCAGTGGTGACAGCTTCATACCAGATACAGAGGACAGAGTCAGTCCTCTGGTGCTGGCTCATGGCTTATTAACCTTTAAAAATTATCATTGACAGCTACGACCATGTTTGAAGCTGGAAAAGACAAAAGCAACCCGGATGAGTTTGCTGTGGCACTTGATGAGACTCTGGGAGACTTTGCCTTTCCTGACGAATTTGTGTTTGATGTGTGGGGAGCCATTGGCGACGTGAAACAGGGAAGATGATGGTGTGGACAGTCTTCCTCAGAAACGACGAGGGTTCCTTCCAGGGCAGTCTCCTTGGGGACTCTCAGGGATCTTTATGGACTCTGCTTTAGCTTCATGTGTATGAGACACAGTCTATGAAACGTAATTCTGATTTATGGATAATGTTTAATATAGTTTCCTATGCAGTATGCTTAAGATAAATTAAACTATGATTCATTTTAATGTTGGTTCAAAAGCCTCTGAAAGTGATTTTTAAAGAAACATTTCTACATGGGTGGTCTCGTCCCCTGTTGACACTCATGCCTTGCGTGGCACATTAAGTAGGTTGCTTACAGCAGCTTTGTGGGTATTGGTCCTCCATTATCTTTTAAAAAGTGTATTTGTCATTACGGTGTGTGTTGATTGTATGTGTACCATTGCTTGAGGAGGCCAGAAGGGGGCGTCTGCAACTGTCTGTAACTCTCCAGCGGGATTTGCACACCGCTGTGAGCTGCACATGGGTGCTGGGAGCTGAACCTGGGCTGTCTGCAGGAGCAGCCAGTGCTCTGCAGTGCTGAACCCTCTCTCCAGACTCCTTTCTTCCAAAATCTTAACACGATGGGAATTAGGCTTAGAGCCCGATTTACCTCCTAACATCTTCATTTCACTACATTAATCTAAACAGGATACATATAGAAAATGAAATACAGATGACATCTGCCACAATCTAGAAGCACAGTTTTGATTTTTAAATGAGCAAGATTGTTTTGGCTTACTGGTTCCTAGGACACTCTTTGTAAAGCATTGACTTAAAAAAAAATTACGATTGCCCTTAAGAGCAATTGGCTGAAGTTGTGCTGTGTGCACAAATTGTGTGTGTTTGTGTGTGTGTGTGTGTATGTTTGTGTGCATGTGTTTGTATGTTGTGTGTGTATGTGTGTGTGTGTATGTGTCTGTATGTGTGTGTGGATGTGTATGTGTGTGTAAGTTTGTGTGTATGTTGTGTGTGTATGTTTGTGTGTATGTGTGTGTATGTGTGTGCATGTGTGTGTATGTTTGTGTACATGTGTGTGTATGTGTGTATGTGTTTGTATGTTGTGTGTATGTGTGTGGGGGCTGGGGATTGAAAAAGTGACGGGAAGAAGCAGTTGTGCTTTTTGTTTTTTCCTGACTTTGAAGTATTCTTTCTGTTTCCATCTACAGTGTCTTTCCTGATAACTTTTCTAAGGCCTCCAGGCCAGGGTTTATATTTGTAGAACTTTTATTTGGAAATATATTTGCTCAGAAAATAACTGTGTTTGAGATGCCGCCTTTGGTGTGCGTGTGTGTGGTTTAAGCAGCAATCGTTTTCATCCTTCCAAACCTTGGAGGGAACGCTGTCAGGAATTGATTCCCGGTGGAAATAAGGGGGAGGGCAGAGTGGAAAGACTCGCGCTGGGCTGCTATTTCAGAGTTCTTGCACCCTTCCTCCAACCCTTACCTTGTTGAGAAGATTGAGGGGAAATGACAGTCTCACTCTTCTTGGACATTTCACAAATGCAATGGAGATGGAAATAAATGGCTCCAGAGTAGATCATTTAATAAGGTGGAGGACAGCGTGGCCGAGCGCTCCAGTGCATCTGATGGAAAACACTGGGCACGGCGGCTGTCATCAGGCATGATAGCCGGGAGGGTGTCTTCCGGGAAACCAGAGGTAATGCCTTTTTCATGAGGGTTACTGTCGGGACAACTCTGTCCTTTTCTCTCAAGATGTCGCTTTTTCTGTCACCTCTTCTGTGACAGTAGAGCAACACTCTGGCTGATTTTCCTTGTTTATTAGTCTGAACCTTGCATGTGAGCCACTTGAACTAACGTGGAGCACAAGTATCCCCTAAGAGTCCAGCTGTTTAATTCTTCTGTGTGCTGTTAGTGTGATCTGTTGGTTAGTGTTCAGCGAGTCTCCTTTGAAGGCTTCAAAAATGCCCGTACAGTCTTAGATACAAAGAAAGAGCCGATGTTTTAGGAAGGGGAAAGTTGCTAGGTGAAGTCGGAGTCTCATAGATACATGGTGCTTTAAACAATAACAAAAGTGTAATTTTTTTTTTGGTCAGTAGATGGTAGATTTGAAATGTTTATTATATGTTTTTATCATCATTGTGATTTTCTTTTGGTGTGTTTGCATGAGTGTGAGAGTGTGGGAATATGTATGTATGTAGGAGAGTGTGTGAGTGTATGTCTGAAGTGCAAGCGTGTGACTGTGTTAGCCAGTGTGTGTGAGTGAGAGAATTGCTTTGAATGTGGAATTCATGTTTCTCTGGCTAGGCTGGGAGCTAGCTAGCTCCAGCAATCTTGTTCTTCATTGTTTCTTGTTCTTAGCGTTCCTTTTCTCATAGTTAGTCTGCACTCCACTCCGTGCTGTGGTTGCGGGCATGCATGGCATGGTACCCAATGTGTGCTGATGTCCACTCCATGCTGTGGTTGCGGGCATGCATGGAACCGTACCCTTTGGCCCTCATGCCAGCACAGGAAGCACTCTTTATTGCTGAGCCATCCCGTTCTCCTCGCCTTTGCTCTTTTCTTTTGACAAGGCCTCTCTGTGTTGTCTACTCTGGTCCTAGCCCAGGTCCTACTTTAGTCCTAAATACCCAGGACTGCTGATGCTTGCCACTGTGTCTGGCTAACTGGCTATTCTTTGCAGGTGTCATGAGGTAGCAGGAAGTTTGAGTCAAGGGAAGAATAGAGGAGAGCAAGAAAAGAGACACCATAATAGAGGAGCCATTATAGGCTTAAAGAGAATTCTGGCACTAGGGAAATGTCCAGAGATCAACAAGTTCAACCCCAACTAACAATATAAGCAATAGTTGAGAGGCTTCCTTAAATGCTCTTTTCCAATAATGATATTGATGCCTATGTTATATGTCATCCTAGCGTCTTCATCCAGTGGCTGATGTAAGCAGAAGCAGAAACCCACAGCTAAACACTGAGCTGAACTCCTGGAATCCAGTTGCAGAGAGGGAGGAGTGATGAGCAAAGGGGTTAAGACCAGGTTGGAGAAACCCACAGAAACAGCTGACCTGAACAGGGGGAGCTCATGGACCCCAGACTGATAGCTGGGAAACCAGCATGGGACTGATCCAGACCCCCTGAACGAGGATGTCAGTTGGAGGTCTGGTTAATCTATGGGGCCACTGGAAGTGGATCAGTATTTATCCCTAGTACACGAATGGACTTTGGAGCCCACTCCACATAGAGGGATGCTCTCTCAACCTAGACACATGGTGGGAAGGTCTAGGTCCTGTTCCAAAGGTTATGACAGACTTTGAAGATTCCGCATTGAAGGCCTCACCCTGCCTAGGGAGCAGAAAGGGGGTGGGATGGGGGTTGGTTGGGGCAGGGGAGAATGGAAGGGAGAGGGGACTGGGGTTGACATGTAAAAGAAGCTTGTTTCTAATTTAAAATCGGTCTAATTACAATTATAAATATAAAAAAAGGAAAAAAAGGAAGTAAAGGGCATTCCTCCTTCAGATGATCAGAAGTTCAGCTCATCAGGGGTTTTACTTAATGAATTCCACTTTAACCGAGGTTCTGGACTGGGAAGGTGGGCTGGGGTGGAGTCAGTGGCATTTAACTAGTGGTTCCAATGTTCCATGGAATACGACCATACTGCTCCTGTAGTCTGCTTGATTAAACATCGCCCATCAGTTCGGATGAGTCTTTTAAAGTGAATTAACCCAGGGCTGGAGAGATGGCTCAGTGGCTGAGAACACTGGATGCTCTCCCAGAGTGCCTGGGTCTGGTTTGAAGCACCCAGCAAGGTGGGGTCATGACCCTGGGGAACTCCAGCTGTGGAGCATCCGGCGCCCTCTGCTGGCCTCTGTGAGCACCAGGCGCATGCGTGGTGCCCGGACGTACATGGAGGCAAAACCCTCGGGTGCCTGAAATAATAATAAAAAATTGAAGTGAATTAACTCACTTGCAGAGAGATTCATCCAAGGTCAGCCACACTCATTTCGCGGCACAGGTGGGCCAACCCTGCGTCTTCGTTTTCTACCTCGTCTGTCCAGTAGGGGGCACTACCCGCCCAGGCTGCTCCGCGAAGCTGCTTTCGGTTGTGACTCCGGACAGCAAGTCGGTGTTGGGTGGAGTCTGATTCTAGCACAGCCAGTTGACAGCTAAGTGTGCGGATACTCAGCGTCTTCCCCGAGGCTTGGGGAGGCTTGCATTTGGTGGTCCCTGAGAGTACCGAGGCTGAACGACAAATCCTACCGAAACCAGCCCAGGTTCCACCAGCCGGGATGATCGTGGGTGACACCCTGTGAAGATTATAGAAGACTTCATTCCAAGCATAAAGTCAACGGGCACATTAACAATTTTAAAGCTTAATTCACGGCCGCAAAACTTTTAAAGGAGAATCGAGCAGACACGAGATTGTGAATTAAATCGTCCTTTGCTCGAATAAACAGCCAAGCTTCTTTGCAGCCAATAATCAATCTCATAATCAATAACGTGCAGACCACGAGAAAGCTTTTTATCTTTATTAAGATAGAATTCTGACCGGAGGTTGATTGAGGTCTTACAGTCTCACCTGCGGTCAGCTGAGCTTTTTATTCTTCCTGGCGATTTTCACATTGAAGTGATTTACCAACACTTTGAGCTATAGCACTGCCTCCTCTCAGGAGGAGTCTTTCTTTTTATGAACCGGGTTTTAATTCCACTGCCACCTGATGCTGCCAGGGAGTTTCATTAACTGTTAGTTCAAGACCATTTGTAAAAACAAGATCTTTCACTCAGTTTTATTTTTTAAATTGCACGTAGCCTTGGTACCTTTGCTAATGAATAATTACTTTTGCGTTCACCTGTCTGATGTGAGCGCTCCCTGCCACTGTCGGGCATGTGGAGGTCAGGGAATGGCTTCTGGGAGTTGGTCCTCATCTTCCTCCTTTGTTCTGACTCAGGGTCTTTTGTGGCTCTTTGCCAATGCTCTCTGTACTCCCGGCTAGCTGGTCCCTAGGCTTCTGACTGATTCTCTGCCTCCACCTCCACCTATGCATCTCACTGATGGAGTGCCGGGATGACAGACATGTGTGTGGCTGAATCGAATCTGTTTTTTTTTTTTTCTTCAGATTTTTTTATTTGAATTAGAAACAAGATTGTTTTACAT